TTTTCTCGTTCTTCTTGTTTCTTTTGCTGTTCTTGTATTGCTGCCATCAAATCTGATAAGCTGTAGTTTGATTTGCCGCCTCTCGTTTCCATCTTATTCTTTTTTTTCTATCCCACTTCTAACACCAATTTGTTATGTCTCTGTTCGTTAGTTAATTTCCCGTATAATTCTTTCCGATGAAACTTTAGCGACACAAGTCCTTTCTTAAATAAAACTGGTTTATTCTTTCTGAATACAACTTTGCAATACACTTAATTTCCCCAGTCACGCTATAATTCACAACGAACGACTGACGTGCTCAACTCAACAATAAGTCTCTCTCTGTCCGCAGTTTAATTAGATTGTTGCCGTCACTTCTTACCGGTCTTATATATACAAGAATACCGAAATCTAGCGAAATGCTTGAGCATTCACGAACCTTCGAGAATATGACGTGTTACTAGCCTTATGTGACCCCCGCTATCGTAATAATATCTAAATATGTAAGTACATTTTTATACTAATAGTTTATCTTAAGATCTAAGCTACTGTAAGCTACTCTTTTCTAATGAGAGTATGGGTATTACCAAAATTAAGGAACTGGGTGAGCAATATTATACCGATTGGGGAATTTTGCCTCCCCACAAGCATACTGAAAATGGCGTAAAACTAGGTATCAATTTGCAATACTTACATTTATACATCTGTATCTTTTTCAAGCATTTCTTTTTTTAAATAAATATTGTTGTAATTTCACATACAATTTCCAAAATCTTATAACTTTGCCAAAAACAAAACTATCTTCTGTGTATAATTTCAAAATGTCAGCATTATTATTTTACTTGCACCTAATTAATAATGTATGATTAATTGCTACTATTTCTTTTGCTTTTCTCTTTCACTCGTTTTAAGATCTATACTGGTGTATACAAGGATACAAACTGGTGACTGTTTATTATAGAGACAACTTGTTCTAAAATCTAAACTGCTAAGTAAGTCAACATTTAAACAAGTTGTTTTAAGATCAATCTTTTTGTTATTGTTTTTATAGAGTAGTTGTTTTAAAATCACTGTTGACCTACAAATTGCTACTTCTTGCAGAGAAAACTTCTTCAAAGATCTAGGCTGCTGTAGAAGTCATTATTTTATGTATAGTTTTGTATAAGATTTTTGTTACTGTACAAATAATTGTCTCCAAAGTCAACTTGTTCCAAGTTATAAGCTAATGGACAAGTTTTAGTAATACAAAGTAAATAGGTATCATTTCCTATATTACGTTTATTTTCCTGTACGTATAAATAGTTAGATAATAAGAATCCAGAGCATGATTAATGAGTGAATGGTGTTTTAAAATAAACAGATCTGGGATTTCACCAGCACTGATGGATTGTGGGTTGAAAAGATATTAACTGCAGAGAACAGATGTGATCAATTTTGCAATTCTTTACAAAAGTTAGTTTTCATTTATATTAAAACATATAATGATAAGGAGATGACCTTGCAGTTCTTACACTATTCAGTTTTTACCACATCCTGACTCATGATCAAGTTTGCATTTGCTAAGGCTGTACTATCCAGGTAATAATCAGGTTCTGCAGCCTAAAGCAATAAGGACAGAATAAATAGTTCTCTCGGGTTCATACCTTTTCCTGCTTGAATATAATACTTTGGTAGAAGAAATGCTATCAACATATCTGATAATAAACAATTAAATTTTATTATTTCTTTTATATTTACAGTTACTATATTTCAGAAAAAAAAATATTCTACAGTAAAAACCATAAAATTCAATTTGTCCCTTTTAAAACATGATAAAAATACATTACAAAAAGAAAACCACAGTTTTTTTTTTCACTAAAAGATACAGCCAAGTATACTATAAAGAATCTTGAAGATTTCACCTTACCCTGTATATTTAAGACTTTCAAATAACTAAAAACTACAGAACATTTATCCTAACTTGATATAATGAAATTACCCAGTTTTGTAATACATCTATGAAGTTGATACTAGATGGGTGTAATAAGGCAATAAACTTTTTTTGCAACATAAAAATAAAGTTTCTAGCATGTGTAAAAAGCTAGGTTACATCTACTGTGTTAATTTATCACCATACACAGAAGTTCTGCTAAACAAAACAACAATAAACAAAGTACAGAGAAGAAAATAATATTCAACAGGCTGATAGTTTTCAGTACAGATCTACGGTTAAACAAAACAACAATAAACAATGTACAGAGAAGAAAATAATATTCAACAGGCTGATAGTTGTCAGTAAAGATCTAAGGTTAAACAAAACAACAATAAACAAAGTACAGAGAAGAAAATAATATTCAACAGGCTGATAGTTGTCAGTAAAGATCTAAGGTTAAACAAAACAACAATAAACAAAGTACAGAGAAGAAGAGAATATTCAACAAGCTGATAGTTGTCAGTAAAGATCTAAGGTTAAACAAAACAACAATAAACAAAGTACAGAGAAGAAAATATTCAACAGGCTGATAGTTGTCAGTAAAGATCTAAGATCAAAACAACAATAAACAAAGTACAGGGAAGAAGAATATTCAACAGGCTGATAGTTGTCAGTAAAGATCTAAGGTTACTCTAACAACTATTGTTTTACTTGCAATAAAAAACAAAGTACATGGAAGAAGAATATTCAACAAGCTGATAGTTGTCAGTAAAGATCTAAGGTTACTCCAACAACTATTGTTTTACTTGTTCTATTGTTACTATTAAGACTTAAGAACATTACAAAACAAATTAAACCAAGACCTATCAAAAACAAAGATACACTTATGTAATCACACAGTTCTAAATTAAAGAAAACCTCAAGACTGTTCATAATGACATTTTTCTGTGCATTGATTTGAACCAATATTTTTTGTTTTTAAGAGAAATAAAGTTGACCTACATTGTGCATGTACCTATTTTCTACACTCTTAACTTATTCACAATTAATCTTAATTTCAGTAATGGTTGCAAAAAAAAGTCTCACCAGCATACATATATTCTTGTGATTATGTTTTTACTACATATATATAAGGTTCATAAAGAAAAATCATAATGATTTTTTTTCAAAATTAAAAATACTTTATTACACTTGCACAACCAGGGGGAGCTTCATGACATATTCCATCTTACTGGTCTTCCTTTTATCTGACTAATGTCAATTGATTCTATTTACAGTCTAGCCAGTTCTAAAATTAACTTTTGATTGAGTTTAACAGGTAAAAGTTGAGAGAGACTTATTACATCAGACACTAATAATCTGGCACAAACTGTATGATACATGTGTGTTAAACTGCAAAAGTTCACGACAATTTCACACATTTCTTTACTGTAACCTACTCTCAATTTTAAAAGCAAGTAAAGGAAATGGAAATGTAGTTTGTAAGATTATTAGATTATGATTAACTGAAAACTGACAAATTCTGTCCTTCCACACCTTGAATGAAAATTTTCAGAAATAATTGCAAACTTAATGCCAGTTCAATATCAAAGTATAGCCATTTTTAACCCTCAATTGGGAAAACTCATAAAACTTACATAATACACAAAACAGAAATAAAGTTTTTACACACACTATAGAGAAACCTTGACTACAGAAGTCCATAATATTTAATCTCTTGCAACTGCTAAGCACTGTTTTCAATTAATCATTTTCCTTTTACTGTGACAGCTGCTAAACCTCAATCAGCAAATATTGAATCATGTGATTAAACCTACCCAGATGAGTCAGGTGTGTTATAACACAGATGAGTTCACCAAAACTCAACAAATATTAGTAGTATCACGCCTAGCCACAGACCCATAACAGTTACAGATGAAATCCTCTTAGGGTGTGTAAGGATACTGTATTTTAAATTGTTGCTCTTATAAAAAATTTTTTTAAATTTGTGGTTGCTTGAACTGACAAATACTTACAATTTACAGATAGTTTCTACATAAAAGATATTCAGTTAAATGAATATAAATCCTTGGTAAAAAAACCAAAAAAAAAACCATACTAACATGTATAAAATACTGACTTTTTTTAGTTTATCATATAACCTACATATTAAACTTTGTCACATGCTGTTCATAATTTTGATAAAGAACGATTTTCTGTTAACTAAAATAAAAACAATCTTAATATATGTTAATTCTAATTAAATACAGTATATTTTACTAAATCAAAAATTTCATAGTTTGAAATTATTTTTTTAGAAGTTTTTAAGTATATAAATCTACATGTATATTATATTTTACTAAATCAAAAATTTCATAGTTTGAAATTATTTTTTTAGAAGTTTTTAAGTATATAAATCTACATGTATATTATATATAATAAAAATATGTAGGTTGAAAAGTAAAATCGTTAAAAATATTTGGACATGAAACAGAAAGTTTAACAACTGTTTTTTTAACAACACAAATTAAATTTAATACCAAAATCAATATATTAGAACATGATAATATCAGTTTAATACTACTATGAACTGGTTGAAATATTTATACTGAAATACCAGCTCTGTAGATATAGTTATTTCAAGCCTGAACTGTAAACCAAAAAATTTGTTCAAACACTTTAATCATTTATAAATGTTATTTTTTTTAGTTTTCTTCTCAATTAATTTTGATTTTTTAGGTCCATGACAGATGTAAATACTGATGTTTCACCAACATTAATACATATTCCAGATATTTTCCACAGTTCAAGAAGAACAAATTATGTAGTGTTTATACATTTCTATTATCAGTATTTTATGGTGGTCAAAATTGGCTAATGTAATAATTTTTTTTTATTTTAAAAGAATTGCAAAAAATTTTGTTGATGAATGTTTCTGTAAACAGCCAATCAACTGGTAAATACTTATATAATCTATTCAGGCTTCTCTGGGAGATACATGCATTCGACAAGCACAAAACAGAACAGTAAACTCTTACACTGTGTATTTTTTATCAGAACTGAACAATTAATGGTAATTATTAATCAATTAATTGATAGTTTCATTACATTTCATTAATCAATTAGTAAAATTGACATAAAAACAGAAAAAGTTTGCAGCAGATACTGCCAACCAGTTGAACTCACTCTAGTCAGCAGTTTGAAACAGGAGGGGGGAGATGGTAGGAAGTACCACTGGTGAATTGTCTTCATGTAGTCAGAGGTTCAAGAAACAAAGAATGGCAGTTGATGCTGCCAGACAGCTGAATTCTCTCTAAAATACAATAAACAAACTTTATGATGTCAGGTGCTACCTTCCCACCAGTCAGCAGTTCAAAATAAGCAACAGTGGCACACAGTCTTAGTGGATTGGCCATAACAAAGACAGGGCAAGAAAGTTTGGTGGCAATGGAAATTGAACCCGAGACATTCGAGTCACATAATACTTGGAATAACCAAAAATAATAACCGGAAATCTTAATTTTGATTATTTGATGATTTTTTTGTAACAATCTATATAATCAGAATTTTGATTAATAAATTGTAGAAATAATCAAAACCATAATAATTGGAAACACTAATTTCATTTGTTCAATTAGTTTATAAAATGTTAAGCAACATAATTGCTGTGCATAGATAATTGGTTATATTGATCAATGAATTAAATTGCCCAGCTCTGATGTTTATGTCATGAAAGTTGATACAGTGATGTATCTGTACATATTTTACAGAAAAAATTGAACCATTTCATCTGGAATAAAAATAGTATATCTTCATCTCAGGTAATTATCAAAGTATTTCACAATTGGTATAAAGTTACTAACATGAAATATACAGAAACTGGTGAATGTGAAACAGAAACATTTACATACAGGAACCCTGCATTAAAGTAGAGATCAGCAGGTTTTAATACATTCTGACTTAATGTGACTGACAGCTACAGTGAACTTTATGTTTGTATATATAAAGTAGATATCAGCAGGTTTTAATACATTCTGACTTAATGTGACTGACAGCTACAGTGAACTTTATGTTTGTATATATAAAGTAGAGATCAGCAGGTTTTAATACATTCTGATTTAATGTGACAAACATATTGACAGCTACAGTGAACTTTATGTTTGTATATAAACTAATCTAAATGTCATTCAAACTTTGAGGAGTGAAGAGTATGAATACAACTCTCTCAAAAACTGACTGGTAAATGATTTCAATTGGCTAGTACCAAGTCAGCTACTACTTGAATTAGGGTTAAAGGTTAAGGAAGTGTGAAAGATTTTAGCAGACTATAATTTGAGAAATTTACTTATCTATACTAACATGAGATTTCAGACTAACCATTAATTGCAAAACACAGTGACATATTTCACTATACATCTTCAAAATGAGGAAATTCCAACTGTGACAAAGGTATTAGAAAATATATTAACTCTTTTATTTGTTTCACTATATCAAACTTCTGGTTACCACAATGTCATTGGTCCTGATATCAAAAGAATCATATTTATAACATCAAATTGCCTTTATTACCACTTACATGTAATTTATCCATTTAGTGTTCATGGAAATAATAATCACAGAGGATTATGCTTTTGAACACACAGATCTAAATTATTTTCAAAGAAGTAATGCAGGATATAATTAATACGAGCCACTAACAACTTAGTAACTATCAAGAGCATAATTAAACTGCCATTAGAAATTTGTTGGCAAGTAAGTGATTCAAAACCTTCCACACAATATACTTGTATTAGAATGATATAACACCAGCATACAAACTACTTGCAATAACATAGTTGACACCACAGTAAATGTCAACCTTATGATATTAAGTAAATGGTAACCCGTGGAAAAATATACATCAGACTGCCTTTCTTAAAACTTCATGTAAGTGGTAGTTATATAAGGTCTGAGTAAACACTTGATGTCTTAAGGCTATTATAGGTACACAAGATTTTAAAATTATACATCTTTCAGACTCACAGAAGAGTATTTTCAAACATGTTTGTAATTCAGTAGTGTATAAGGCAAAAACTTGGTTCTTTCTGAAATTCCCAATATAGCAGTATCAGAAGTAGGTATGACTATCAGATCTACGTTATTTGTTCCACAGTTCGGTCAATTAACTAATTCTATTGAAACAAAATGTTTCAGACGTTCCAGGTACTGTCCATACAGTTCTACGTCATTGTGACCTGCACCCTCTACCCACAGAGGCTCCACTGCTCGGGGACATCGTTCATACATTGCAAGACCATGAGAAAACTCTATCACTTCATCTTCTGTTCCGTGGATTACAAGCACAGGAGAAGTCACTTTGTGGATTTTTTCAATACTGAAAACAAAACAAAAAATGTTATATTTTGCAAGTTTATGAATATGCTGCACAGAGTACAATAAGGTAGACAACATGTTTTTGATACTATGAAAGTGGCTTAAAAAACAACAGATACGTTATATATTTACACATATATTATCACCCATGCTATTTTATATATTTCTTATCTAACAGTTTTTTTGTATGCCTCATCTGGCTAGAAATCAGCAAAAAAATGTAAATGATAAATTAATTAAATTATCTGTTTTGGAACAAAAAACAAATGAGAAACATAACAGAATTTTAGCACAAACTACAGAAAATGCACAAAGAAAAAAAAGAGCTCCTGAGATATGACAACTTTACAGATGATTTTATGCAAAACATTTGGTATAAGGACATTCACTATACCAATATCAACAGTTACATGTACAATATACATATAGAATAACTTGATATTGTTTATGAAATAAGAGAACTTTATAAATGCTGCATCAACCATGAAACATTTCCAATAATATAACTTACTACTCTGTAACTTGTATGCCTGTGAAACCCCAATAATTCTGGCAACTAAACAAAACCCTGTACAGAAGGCATAGAAAGAATCTGAAAAGGGATTTTTAAATGTTGTATTCGTTAATGAATCAGATTTAAACAATATTTATAATTATAAAAATTATATTTACTTTTTTTTAGAAAAATCTTGTAATATCAGCATTCTCCATAATTTGATAAAAGAGTTAGCACAAAGGATCACACATATAAAGTGTAATAGACTTAAAATAATACCCAAAACTCGAGCACTTTTTTTTCCTGAAAAAGAAGAATCAACTATTCGAAAGCATTCTCCATAATATTTCAGAATTAAGGGTGAAATACCTTTAGATGTCAAAATCTGATAGCATTGTCTCATGTCACTGATAGCTGCATGACTGAGATCCCTGCACACACATTATATCCATGAATTCACCTAATGTGTACATGGTTCAAGCCAAGTTGTAATGTGTACTACATACATGTACCTAAACACATGCCTCAAAAAGTAGAACGTTTGACATTGCATGAAATATCCTGGATACCAGACGAAGTTAATCAAAATATACCTGCTGGCAAAAAATGTACATACTTTGTATGTAAATCACAAATTTCTGATTTTTGGTTAAGATGAAGATATTAAGATGCCAGTAACACTACTGCTATTTCAGATTTAGTTTCACTATTTTATGCCTAGTGGTATTTACGTGAACTGATTTCCCAATTTCCCTTTTCTTTTTTTAACATTATCAAAACTATTTTTTTTTGGCAATATCTAGTATTAAAAAATAAATGTTGCTCTGTAGTAGAAAATGATGTAATGTTTGTAATGCATTTCAGAAAGATTACTTCATGTTAGGGACACAAAACAGCCAACCTTCAACATCAGAACACTGAATGCATTCTTACGACAAGATACATCATATCATTTTCTTTTGTTTTTCAAACCCAACATCCTGAATATAACAAATTTTATTCTAGAATAAAAACCTATGATGTTTCCAATAAGTTCAAAGTATGTGTCATGAAATATGTTAATTGAATTTGACAATAGTCAAAATATCTACTTTCAAAATTTTTTAAGTCATAGCCTCAACCAACTCATCAGACACCATTCTGCTTTCAAGTAACACTCAATTTTTCCTTGTTGATTTAATGCTAACTCTTTTAGATTGTTGGAAACATTGTTGTTGCTTCTCTGAACTTATGACTGTGCTGCACAGTATGAATGCTTGATAGCTCTTCAGAAAACCATCTTAATTATAAGTCCACTGATGACCAGAGGTAAAATATTTATCTTATAATTGTTTACCATCATGAATATCACTGAACAAAACTGACTTATTTTCTCTGCTATTTATCTTCTTTTCATAGTCTTGCACAGAAGAACATTTTTCAATTGTAATTAATACTGTAAAACTGCATATATTTTGGCCACCAAACAGATCTATGAGGATATGCCATAAATGAGCCTAAAGAAGTGTAAATGCCAAATAATACAAAGTTACAGAAAGCTCTTTGACCTTAAGGCCATACACACACAAAAAAGATGAAAAACTTGCTTATGTCATTGAAGTACTGCTCTGTTCTTAGTAGTAAAACTAGCAAAATTTTAGGGTATATAAAACATACTAATTTCAAATCAAAACAGATAATTTTCTCTACACAAAGTTTACATTTTCTGATAGATATCTCCACACACAGAAGAGGTTGTTTACTTCAAACAGCTGCCTAGAAGATTTGTATGTTACTAGCCTTGAGCTACCTAAAAACGTGTTTAACATGAGCAGTGCAACACAACTTCCTTGTGCAGTAGCTCCCTCTAAGCATTTGTAATTAAATTAACTTCATTCTTAGACAAGGCAAGAAGAAAGTGCACTGAAAGTGCAGAGGACAGGTGGAAAGGTATACGGAAGTATTTATCAGAAATGTAAAATTTGCTGAATAAAGAAAATGTTAACTTCTGAGGCAATATCTCACCTTCTCACACATAATAGCTAGAATCCCAAAATTGAAATGTGAACAGACCAGTTAAAATATTAATCCTAGATGAGCTCCTTTCAGAAAGTGCACAAGTGGAAAGCCCAAGGAATGTGACATCTGATGGCACGGGCTCCATACGGGCACACCCATGGGAGACCATATCTCATCTTGACCAGTCTAGGAGAGGAAAAAAAAAGCTCCAAGTTTCACAGGATTGTGCCAGCCAAGGAGGTGCCACCAACAGGACTTGTTAAGGAGTGCCAATTATCATAGCAAGAATACAAAGGAGAAGACAAAGAGGAGGATAGGCATATAGAAAAAAGCCATTTATTTCGACAATTGGCAAAAAAACAGACAAACCAGAATCCATATACATATATATATTTTTTAAATCTGACAATGTGTCATTGTATAATTTCTCATGACAATCTGTCTGATTAGGTAGTCTTTCACAGTTAATATAAATCAAAAATTTTCTACCATTTAAACTCCTCATTGTAATGCATATAGATTTAATCTTTTCTTCACTCCCATTGCAAAGAAGTCCATCCCATTTATAAAGACCATCTCACCACTCTTTTAAAAAGTATTAACTTATAATAGGACATTGAAAATACTTTATACTATCAATATCATCTAACAAAGTTTCAGTAATTCTCATTATTACAAGGGCCTGAGTGTAACATGGTTAGACAACTGCTTTATTTTTTTGCACAATTCACCTATGATTTCATAAAACAAAAACTTCTAACGTCTAGACGTATACGTTTGTTTTGTTATTTGATAAAAAATGTGTTGTGTTAATCATGACGTTGGAATTGCATTAGCCCTAAGTGCACATGTGGAGGTCAAACTGTACATGCCTTGACTTTCTACAGTGTCATTCAACATAGTATTATACACTTGACATCAAGAGTTATCTCCACTTCATGTTACCCTATATTGCTGATTGTACAAATGTTCATTTTAGAGTAGATAAAATATACAAAGATACTGAAAAAAAACTTTACATATGCATTTATGAAGTTGCAGAGGCTACAGAAATGCAACTTGCAAACTGTGCAGTAGACAATAGTATTTTTATTCTTTACATGAATATCACTTTACACTTTGACTACGGCATTTTAAGGACATATCTTTAGTACAAAAGCTTTAGTAACACATCTGATTTTTTGTGTACAGCAGACTTGTGTTGTTGACTAAAAGTTTGTTACATTTCATGAAAATATGCAACATATTTTTGAAATTATAGTCAATATTACTTCTCCAATACAGAGCGAGACCAGTGGACTGAGCCTATGCACATTCAGTTAATTATTTATACCATCTGAAATATTACTATTTTAAGCTGTTTTTACTCTAGGTAAAGTTTGTATTTTTTTTATTTTGGCTGCATAATTAATGAATTATTTTTACTTTTTTCTGCATAATCAACAGCATTATGGAACATAATTTCTTATTGTTACCCACATAGTTTGAAAATTTTTAATACATAAAAATCAGGGCCATATACCTTAATCTTTCATTTCAACTTGAACCCTGATACTCATAGCATCATGATAACAGAAATTAAACTTATCTTTAAATGTCACAGACTTATTTCTGAAACTGTTATTTACTTGTGTATTATAACATTTTCAAATCTGCTCATTTCACTAGATAATTGATTAATTTGTTTTTTACCATTTTTCACAGTCCCTTATTGGTATACAAGTTCAGTTTCTTCTCCATACATCTTGCTACCTAGCCTGTTTAATCTGATTCTATGCCTAGCATATAATTCACCCTTACCTTGAAACTATCCCACAGATCCAACCAGCCCAACTATTGCTTTGAGCATAGTTTAACAGAATACTCTTTTGGTTAGTTATAAGCTAGTGGTATCATTTGCTTGGCAATGTGGTTTGTGCACAGTTGGAATGAGTTACAAATGTTGTTGTGCACAAGTGTATGAATAAGAAGAGCTATTTCAAAATTATGTTGAGATTTCTTTTCCTCTTTTTTTTGTGAATGACAGAAGAAATTAATAATCAGACTAATCTCCTGTCATTTTGTCTTCTATTTTTAATTTGTTCTCTCTCTCTTGACCAAGTGGCTCTCCTACACCCTGAATTTTTGGATTAGTACTTGTATTTCATGAACTATCATATCTAGTCTTTATGTAATAAACAAACAAACTTCCAAGTTTTATCTTTGACATGTATATCTCATGTCAGTCATGGTCTAGTAAATCTTATGAAATTTAAGGTTAATAAATTAACTTACTTTGTGTGTGTGAATACATGGCACGCCATTTCATGGTGACCACAAATTACATGTATAATAATTATACTACATTTATCGCACAAGGTACTTGAATGAATGTTACAAATACAATAACTGTATCAAAAGAAGTAAATCAGTTAACCCTTTCGAGACGGGTCACAGGTGAAAGGCCATATCACCTCGTTTGTTGACTCCCATTCAAAATTTTAGTGAACTACTATTTCATGAATTTA